CGAAAAATTCACCTTATTGACGTTCGACAGGTGGTTTGCACTGCTGTATGTTTACGAATTTTCTTTACGCTTTGTAATGAAAGGAAAGCAGCGGTGAAATCTAAGTACCTATTAGGTCATCCTATAGGTAATGTTTTAAGTGGAGAATTTCAATTGCAAAATATCATTTGTTTTGATAAACTTTGACGGACGAATCGGGTATCAGCGATATACCGTGAACGATTTTAAAATCACTTTCAACGAATTATCTTCACGCAAAACGTTAGATCAGTTTTTTTTTTTAATTAAAAACGACGAAGGGATAAACGAAGTTGTTACGGTTTTTCCATTGAAAATAGATTTTTAAAATAAAATTACGTATAAGGAATGACCCAATAGTTAATCTAAAAAAAAGCTAGATTTTTGTCTTACAGATCTCACACCAAAATTTGAGAAACGAAGCTGGATGAAGTGATAAATATATACAACGAGTGAAACGTTATGATTTGGTATAATTACTTGGGCAGGTTTCCGAATACGGTAAACATTAGATAAGTTCCCGAAACGATTGTATACACACGACGCAATAACCCGATATCCAGTGAAGGAAATGGAGGGAACTTTTCTCGTAACGTGTTTACTTTGACTTTCAGCTTTTTTTCTCTTTCACCCGCTGTCCTTTTCTACGCTTTCTACGTTCATTCAACCTACTAAAGGAAACTCGGAACTTCGATCGGGCCGATATCGGGATTAAATTTCAATTCCATTACTCCACCATTACTTCTCCTTTTTCCACGTTCAACGACAAGACGCGAAGGAAACTGAGAACTTTGGTCAGGTTATTATATCAGGGATTACATTTTGATTCCGCTACACCATAAGTTGAGTTTCAAGTTTCGGCTACTTATCCAATGTTTATTGTATCAAGAAGTGTACGCGTCAACACGTGCCGTGTTCGTCCATGCCGGCTGGTAATGCAGTGAACTATCAACGATCGGGGATCCGTACGCGACGTAATACATATTTTCGTGGGGCGGATTTAGCGGCGCGGTTGCAGCAAGGCCGAGTACTCCCGATGCGGTGCTGTGTTACGATCGAACAGTGGTTCTCAACGTAGCGCGTCGCCAATAAGAATTGCACGTGCGCACGTGAGCCACAACACGGCGAATTTCTCGTCGCAGATTCTCGTACTTTGGTTACGCGCGATTACGTAATATCTCGTCACAGGTAACCCGACGATTCCTAGCTCCTCGTGACTCTTGCGTATCTTTTATGTAAACAACGTTCGAATAAAAAAGAAAAAAAAGAAAAAACAAATTGTGTATTCGACAAGATTTACGACACGGTATTCGAATAAGTTTTTTTTTTTTTTT